TTCAAAAATTAAGTGACAATTAAATTTGTCTGAAGAAACTCTTTTAAAGCTACAAGGAAGTTTTTTATAGTCCCTAATCCTCTTTCTTTCAAAATTTCTTTTCTTTCCAGAACGCCAAAAAGACAGAACTGGAATTTCAAATAATCCTGGAAAATCTAAAAATCGTCGTAATTCAAATTAATAACTTTTCCACATCAGCCCTCCGAGGATCCACGAATCAAACCCCTGATTCTCGCAAAGGTTGAAACAACATCATCCAGAGAACTGTGTAATTTAAGGTTAAATGGTTTTAAGGGTGCAAGAGGCGGCGGTATCCCGAAAGTGGCAGTTGTGGTGACCGATGGACAATCGCAGGATAGTGTAGCTGAGGCAGCACAACGGCTAAGGGATGCGCATGTGATGATTTATGCAATCGGCGTTACAAATCTAGTCAATGTGCATCAGCTACATCAAGTAACTGTATTCCGGTCATGCTATTCACTTTATCCCTTCGATAATCCACGAAATGAGCTATTGGCTTTGCTATATCCCTTAAGGTCATTAAGGCTATATCCCTTAAGGTCATTATCGGCTTTGTTATATCCCTTGAGGTTCACTCAACGGTTGCTGGGATGACGCCGACCCTTCGTAAATGGAAGTGACCAGGGTCAGTCCTTGATGACCGGGGTTGACCATTTGTCTTATAGAGCAGTGGACAAAACTTCGGAAAGTCTGTGATGTTTAATGAACAAAAAATGGCTTTCGGATACTTTTGCTTCGTAGTTCGTGAAACAAGAAAGACTTCTTGACTCAAATTCATCTTCAGCTCATCTATATTCTGAGTCCTTGGTACCTGGAAAATTTAAAATAAACTTTTGGGTACAACAACGCGTTTCCACAGCAAGCCTCTTCATTTATATAAATTGCTTGCAACTGGCAATGCTTCTACTCTTCGCTTGATCCCTCATTCACAAGTTATTTCCAGATAGCCGGAAATCCGGTACGAGTGCTCACTGTGGAATCTTTTGATCAGCTCGATAGGACACTGGCTGATTCACTTACTTGGGATATGTGCAAAACTGAATTCAGTGAGTTCTGATTTTCCAGACTC